CCCGCTCCCCCTTTCCTCCTGATGTCTTGCTGAGTCTTCCACTTTAGTCCTTGTTTTCTTCTTCTTTTTCCTTCATTTTTTTCTTCAATTTTGGCCGTGAAATGTGAAAGGACTAATGGAAATCAAGGGGAGGAGGGGTGGAGTTATGAAGAGTGCCCTCAAGCTTGCTGAAGATGTCTCCAGTCTTCCGACAATACAACACGATAGGATGAGCGCTTTTCAGAATCATGAGAAAGATGATTAAGGAATTTGTAGCCTAAGATGGAAAGCTTATGAAGAGGATCAACAACTGATGGTTTTGTGGAAGACACAACACAGAAGACTGGTGGGTGTGGGATACAAGACATTGAAAAATTGGTTTGGCTGACGAGGAAGGGTTCGGGGTAAACGCCTGACAAGATGGTTTTTGGAGAAATTTCCGAGAGATGAGGGAGGAGGGACGCGAAGCATGAAGACCAAACCTGAAAAGAAGAAGTTGCATTTTTGTAGGCATGTTAAGCAATACGTGATGCATAAAAAAGTAGTTAACATTTAAAAGCAACAAGTAAGTAAGGATCATTCTAAATTTCGGAAAACCCGTCTTGGTAATTGCTGCCCCACGCCCTCGCAAAAAAAAAAGAAAGAAAGAAAAGATGCATTACTGTGGAATTCAAGCTCCATAGACGATTTGTTGTTTTCTTCTGACATATACGCCACATGTGGTACTGTTCAAAGTGGTGCCGTTGTTTTGTTTTCTTTATTTGTCTTAATTTTAATTTTTTTTTTTTCATTTTAGGTTAACGTGGGTTTCCTTTTTTTCTCCAGGAGTGGGGAAGTTGTTTTGATTTTGTAGTTGTTTCTTTTTTTTTTTGTCTGTCAGTTTTTGCTTGTTTCTGTTTGTTTTGGATTTGTTTTCTTTATTTATGGTTTTGCTTTTTTCGAAGGGTGGGGGGGGGATGGGAGGGGTGAATGAATAGTATCCATTTATCTTATCAAAATCATGAATATTTTGCTATGAAAAGTTCAGTTCCTATCAGAGTATCTTACGTCATATGAATCACAGGACGAAGTTAAAAAAACCCAACTGAAAAGTCTTTTTAAGGTACTGTCATAGATCCTTGTCAATGTTTCTTACTTAGAAACATACGAACTGGGTGTCGTTACAGTTAGGAGGTAGAAAAGCAGACAGAAATATTTTTGCTGTATTTTGGGCCAAAGCTGAGGGGTAGGGGTTGGGGGAGGGGGGTAAGTTAGCGGAACGGTTGAAACAAAGGCTTCAGAATGCTACGTAACCATGGAGATCGATTTGGTGAAGACAGTCGATGACAGTAAGGATAACGATAAGAAAACTAAAAGAGGCAAGTGCGGATGAAGGGTAAGAATTCATATTTTCACCCTTTTTTCGGGGAAAGGGGGGGGGGGGAGCTCGAAAAAAATAGAGAAAATTCATAATCATTTCATTTTAAAATTGTTGGGTTTGTTGGGTTGGTTGCTTTTTTTTTTTCAATTTTTAAAATTTTCAGAACCCAAGAACTACTGTAAAAGTTGCGTGACGTAGTGTTTCATTTTCTTTAACTTTTTCAATTCGCTTCGCTGGCATCATTAATGGTGTCTTTATAACGTTTCCTTATTCCAATCTTCGGTAAACACCCTCACTTGTGGTATAAATGGCAGTTGGATGTTTACCATTGTCTTTGAAAAGAATTAAGGACTTAAATTTAAAAGGAAACAAATGTATGTAATTATGTAATTCGAACAATTTTACGTCTTTACACTTTCTGTTTTCGTTCGTTTTCTTGGAAAAGACTTTTGTTTGATTTTTCTTATGGCTTTTTAGGCCGTTAAATTCTTTTAGGGTTTTTGTTGTTGTTGTAGTTGTTGTTTTTAGTCGGGGTTTTTTTGGTTGTTGTTGTTGTTGTTGCTTATTTGTTTGATTTGATTTTTTCAATTTGTTTTTTATATTTTGTTTCTCATTTTTGTTTTTGTTTTGTCTGTTTTTTTGTGCTTTATTTTGTTGTGGGTTTTTTTTGCTCATGCACTTTTTGCAACAGCAGGGAAAGTGAATTGAAGGAGGCTGGTGGCTTTCTTGTCTCAGCAGCACACGTTTCCAAGCAGAGGGATTGGATCAAAAATTCAATTTATTGCAACAGCAACTTATTTGTTCTCCCTAAGAAATCGCAACTCTGTTGTTGTTTTTTAAACTCACCCAGAGCTGTATTGAGAGATCCGTGCAAAAATGATTGGCGGCGTTATCGGTTTCCGTCAGGTGATGTGTGAATCCTGTTTTAAATGAGCAAAAGAGGTTAAATGAAACGGTGAGCTGGTGTTGTGTCCAAACACCCAATATCTTGATACAAGCTTAAATATACTCTCTCTCTCTCTCTCTCTCTCTCTCTCTCTCTCTCTCTCTCTCTCTCTCGTTACCACTCTCTCGAAAACAAGATCGCTTAAAAATGGGCCTTCAAAGAGCACTGGATAAATTGGGTGTCATTTTTGCTTTAATTTTGAAAGAGTAAGAATACAAGCAAAATCGAAATAGGCACGATAGGAGAAGGTTTAAATCGAGATGTAAAATTAAAATTTGGTATAACACATTCAGTATAGATAAACTATTAAAATTACGTGAACTTTTGGGTCATTTTGGCTGCAAGGCTGAAAGAGGAAGTTATGTTTCATTACTATAGCAAGTTGTTGAAAGTGGGGATCCATGGTTGAACAAGAGAGATATTTCCGATCAATTCCTCCTTTTGACATTCCGTCGAGAAAAAAAAAGATTCAAAGCAGTCACAGATAGAAGGAGGGCGCTTTTTCCTTGTGAATTTATCAGCTATAAGGCAAGGCTAAGCTACAGATCCTAGCAAACAACACCAGGAATAAATAATAAATCCTACAGAATTAAAAAATCATGTTTTTTATATTTAGAATCAACAAGCCTACCCAGTGGCCAATGTTTTCATGACAGCGACTCAGGGAGCTACAATAACATGCAACACGACGCTCAAGAATAATCTAAACATGCTATACAGGCAGAAAGGCAAACTCTATCAATCAAAACGCTCATTGGCAGCTGAGCCATGTTTTTCATTCAAGGAAGTATTTGCTCGAGCACTGAATTTATTTCCAGTAAGGTACTGGAATACAATTATGCTCCCCTTTCCGCCTTGTTAGCTTGCATTTCGAGCTTGACACGCCGAAAGCGCAAAACTGTCGCTACATAGCCACAGGCACAGCGCCGCCTGGCGGAGGAATCAGAGAACGGAGATGGTAATGTAAACGAAGTGTGTAAACTTGTTTTGTTCGTACATGGGAACAGAGGTCTTTTGACACTGGAGGCCATTGTGTTTTCTAATGCACTCCAGTCTTGTACAACCCGTGTCTTTCTCACCGATGTTTCCCACTGTCTTCTGTTTGTACTATTTGGGCTTTTCGTTTGTTTAAATCAGCAATCTTTTAACCTAAATTTCGAGGAAAATGTCGTTTACAAGTAATGTTTCCATTTACCTACACAAATGAAGTTAAAACTAGTAGAAAATTCCCATTGGAAAATGTAATATAACAAAACAAACCACCTCCTCTTCCTAGAAATCTACATGTTCAAGAAAACTGCTTGGCTTTATTTATATGTGCTACTTTAATTCAGTTCCTTGAGACCACTGAACTTTGACTATGAGGCCCACGTTTAAAACCCAAACTGGATTTTTTCTATTATTTTGAATTATTAGCTTTTTTAGCGTCTTTTTAAAAAGGAGTTTTCATGTCTAACCATAGACCTGGCTTTGTCCTATGAAGGCTAACTGTTGGTTACAATTAAGTGTCATGTTCTTTAATGAGTTTTCCGACATTCTGGACACAATAGGTATCTTCCCAAAACCAGATTTTTAGATCTCGGCGATGCGCCTGAAGTATCTTAGCAGCAGGAGAGTTAAACCTCTGTTGGCAGGACACTGTAAATATTAATATCGCTGTACCCGTCTGGGGTTTGCATCTGAAGTATCGACTCGCACTTCATTTAGCTGTTTTAGAAGGGACCTCATACCATACCATACCATACCATACCATACCATACCATACCATACCATACCATACCAAGCCATACCATACCATACCATATTTATCAAACCGCTATCTTAGGATGACAAAGTTTTATCTGACATTTTTGGTCCTTTTAAGTTACTAAGACCATGAATTCAGAAAACAAATGTTCTATCTGTTTCCCTATCAAAGCTGATTATTCCGAGTCCTTATCGTGACGTTCAAAGAACTGCTTTCAAAAAAGCTTGACATATTGTAGAGTTCAAATTTTTTAACGTTAAATTTCTCAAAACTAGGTACTGAGCAGATAGAACTTGGTAATTCTAGGGTAGCAAAATGTAGTTGCGGCGGTACAGGATCGGTTTTGCCAGTTTGCAGATCTGTTAATGAAAGTCTGTTATACATGCCATGCTTACAGCTTCAGTAAAAGTACCCACTATGATATTTCAACATCTGCATCTATGGTATAGTGACGACTCGTCTCTTTTCAAGAAAGTAACATGAGTTTGATTCCCATAAAAGGAATTCACGTAATGAAATACTTCTGTATTTCTGCGGGGGCTGCACCTTCACAGCTAGGATGTAATCAGCCCACCCCCTGCATCCATTTTAGATATTTCCTTTTTTGAGGCAGGGATGAAGTAGTAATGAGGAGCAGGTAAAGAGATACGTTTAGAACTCACTGAATATTCATATTTTTCGCAGAATTAAGACTCGATCCTAACGATCCACCAAGGCAAGATAGCACATCGAGCACCTTGACTACAGTACCATCGACACTAATGGCAGACTCTGGACATAATTCTATCGCTCCCGACCCTGCTGTATCGTCGCACAGACCCAGCAGTCCCATCTCGGTGTCCCTCCTCTCAGAACAACCGAGGTCACGAACAAACACAGAGGGCTACAGTCCTAGACAAGGCATGAATGACACGGTGGGCAGACGTTTTGACTTAACAAATGGTAGTTACGTACAGCATCACAGCTCCACTGGAGAGGAGGTTGAAGACGTGGATGAGGAGGAAATCGACCTTACCACTGTCAGTGCTGGGGGAACAAAACGAAATCGAAACTGTGACCGATTTGATTCGATGACCCAACAGAGAAATGAAAGACGAGGGGAAGACGAAGACGAGGATAGCCCAGTCGATCATGAAGACAAGACTAAGAAAAAGCATAGGAGGAACCGAACTACATTCACGACCTATCAGCTCCATGAGTTAGAGAGAGCATTTGAGAGGTCTCACTACCCCGATGTCTACAGCAGAGAAGAGTTGGCTATGAAGATCAAATTACCAGAAGTTCGAGTACAGGTAGGTGGTTATGTTTGTCGTGTTGTTTTATTGCCAGCTCCATGGTATCTAACAGTAGAATGAACACATTTGTTGTTCATCATTTGACCGTTTCAGAGAGGAGCGTTTTGCAACCAGTCAGGCTAAACCACTCAGAGGACATAATAGCATTTAGCCAAGGATGAGAATAGACAAACTTTTCCGGCTCTAACGTCCGAACTTTTAAGTCTTTAAGTTTGTGTAGCTTTTCACAAAAGATTTGACAGGGAAGTGCCTGGTTCTTATTGAAAATATAGAAAAAGATGAGTGTATACTTGTACCTACTGTAGAGTTTACCGGGGTTTTGCTGTACTACGGTGTAAAGAAAAATCTTGTTGTTCAATTTCGAGTTTAACTTCGAACCAGTTGACCCCAGGACGTGGTCAGTACGTTGTGACGTACAACATCAGATGAGCACCAAAGAGAATATAGTCGCTGTCGAGTGCTATTGTTTTTTTTTCCTTGGCCCTTAACCATGATCGAACCCTAGCGGTTTTAGACAATACAGCAAAAGTTTTATTTTTTCCCTTTTCAACCAAGAGTTTGCTGACCTCATAACGGTAGAGTTTAGACACTTTTTTTTCTTGTTAATTGTATAATGGCAATTGCAGTCAATTGTTCACGCTTGTTATGCTGTAATGCTTGTGTCATGGAATTTCCTTTTCCTAAAAATGCGGTATTTGGGGTAATTAAAAACAAACAAACTTCAAATACATGTTCTAAAAATGTTTAAGCTGAGATATGTTTTGTTGGTCGGAAATAACAATTTAGTCTGCAAATTGTTGCAACAGATTTTTTAACGTGAAACTGGTCTTTTTTTTTTCCTTTCAAGTTTTCTTTTGAGTAATAAATATCAAAGGCCGATTTTTTTTCATTCTCAGTAGCAAAAAGTCTTTGTTTTCGTGATTCATATTTTCCCCTCAAAATACTTAAGCTTTCAAAATGTTATCCAGCCCTCAGCGTTGCACCAGACTTTCTTTTTTTAATTAGATAAAATGTAAAATTGAATCTTGGCTAGGTTATGAATGGCATAAGTGTAGTTGTTTTTTTTTATTACAGATTCCACGCGGCTTATCTTCAAACGAAGTGCCCCCTTGTCTTTTCAAAGTACATATAGAAATATCGAAATATGTATTTCAATATATACATTATTCGAGGTATCAAACGTTGACAAGTGTTGTAACACCAAAGAAGCTGATGAAAAGAACTGATTACATGATTAATTGTAGAACCCTTAAATCCTGCTCTCTCAATTCCAGAGTGACGATGATTTATTAATCTAATGAAAAAAAAACTGAAGGTAAATAAATACAAATGCAAAAATTAATCTAGAAAGAAACACTTTAAATACATTCTAATCGAAATGCTTTTCGCATAATATTTCTTAGCTGCGGCAAGCTGTTCTAAGAGTGTCTCATGTTTGTCTTTGAAAAGCTCGTGTGCTCGAGGAAACAAATATCCTGACTTAAAATGAACCAGGTGTTTTCCTTTACCTCTCAGCTACAACTCCATTCGTTTGTCTGCCCAGTTTTCACGAGTTTACTTCATAGTCTTGAGATAATTAAAATTTATGGAGGTGAAGCCACAGTTCCGCTATCAAGAGATATAACTCCATTACTGTATGTATGTGATAGCTCAGATTCATGAGTAAGTACTGACTCTGCTTTTTATTAATTGCTTGATTTACTGACAGTGCATGTAAGTGTATACTTCATTTACGATTGTTATCACGTTTTTGTCAGGCCGATCCTTCCATTGGTATTAATATGTCTGTTTGGAGATTTGTTGTAAAAATTGATTACCATTCACGTATCTAATACCCAATCATCAACTCTAATCTCTTCTACTTGGGAAAAGTAAAAATTTCTCATAGGTTGGGGGAATTTAATAATCTTTTTGAGAACTCCGGATCGTTTCTTTTGAGCTTTTCATTAACATAAGTATGTTTGAATGGGTGTCCATAATTACTCAATTATTGTCGACAATAGTTTTTTTGAATCCGCACGCTTAACACAAACAACTTCACTCAAACACTCACACCTGCACATGATCAGACAAATTCTATCCGGGTGTTTTGTTTTAAATGCTCAGGCACACGCATCTATAGCTGCACCCCCCGCAATACCACCTCAACAGACGATACTGCTTGCAGTTAATTGGTTTACATTTATTAGTTTAGGCGCATTTGTGCTAATTAGAAAAAAATGAATGTTAGTTTATCTGCAGGGTATTTATAATGGTCTAAACCGAAATTAACTAATAAATTTCCTTATAAATTTTCTGTACTATAATAATCCGTTGACCTACGTCAAATAATGTTTTCGCTCTTTTCGTTACACGCAAAAGGCACGAGTTCTATTTCCATGTTGTAAGTAGGTCTTTTCTCCGAGTACCGGCGTATTCCTCTCAGGCCAGGTTGGCCCACACAAGTGATGGTCAAAGTAGTCCGCCTCCTAATGGTCTATATTGCGTTGATGCAGGAAAAAAAATCTGCGACAGAAAATAGTATTAGCGGCAATAGTATTCCTACACCTTCTTTCCCATAAATCACACCATTCCTTCTGAAAGTTGCAAGGTAATACCAGACTACTATCATCCCTCTTTTGTTTCTTTCTTTCTTCTTCTTCTTTTTCTTTCATTCTTCTTCTTCTTCTTCTTCTTCTTCTTCTTCTTCTTCTTCTTCTTCTTCTTCTTCTTCTTCTTCTTCTTCTTCTTCTTCTTCTTCTTCTTCTTCTTA